ACACCAAATCGCCTGCACTGTATCCGACGCGCTAGACCACACGACCACCTAGGCTTCACAAAAATAAAGCTTTCGGTGGCCGGAAGTTACCTTTCCTCGTCAGTTTGAATCTAGCGTCGTAATACAGTACATGATATATAAGGCATGAAGATGAAATTGTTACAGATCAGCTGAATTATCTATTGTACAGGATCCTACAAATTAATGCAAGATACAGTCACATAAATAATTATATTTATAAGTACGTCTGAACCAGAGACAACTCTACAACAGATTTATCCATCGGATCACCAGCAGTGATGATGATACATGGCTGTGTACATTCTTTATATACAACTCGTCTAAACATCAGCCCAACAATGTTGGATCTGGAAATTTGTTTTCGCAATTTTTTTGTTCTTCCCTCGCCGGGATTCGAACTCATGCTACTGATATATCGTGACACCAAATCGCCTGCACTGTATCCGACGCGCTAGACCACACGACCACCTAGGCTTCACAAAAATAAAGCTTTCGGTGGCCGGGTGTTACCTTTCCTCGTCAGTTTTAATCTAGCGTCGTAATACAGTACATGATATATAAGGCATGAAGATGGAGTTGTTACAGATCAGCTGAAATATCTATTGTAAAGGATCCTACAAATTAATGCAAGATACAGTCACAGAAATAATTATATTTATAAGTACGTTTGAACCAGTGACAACTCTACGACAGATTTATCCATCGGATCACAAGCAGTGATGATGATACATGGCTGTGTACATTCTGTATATAAAACTCGTTTAAACATCAGCCCAACAATGTTAGATCTGTAAATTTGCTTTCATATATATATATATATATATATATATCGGTGCGTGCCTGTGTATGTGTGGGTGTATGTGTGTGTCTGGGCGTGTGTGTGTGCGTAAGGATGTGTATGTATGTGTGTAAATATATGTATATAGATATATTTGATACTGATGAGGGTTGTATATAATGCCACTTAAGTTAAGTATTTTCGTTGAAAAAAGATGCATGTATGACATGATGTGTGATTGCTTATTTAGTTATCAAATATTACTGGTACTAGTATTCACTGTATTGTACTGCATGTATCATGTGTATCATAGCACAGAACGACCATGGCAAGGATTGAGTACTCAAAGTCAATTATTTCAGGCTACCTATTCCTTTTTTATGATACTGTTTCAGACTATGACTAATATTTTTGCTATTTAGCATAAGTAAATAAGTCTTTGTTGTCATATAAGTATAGTACACTGAAAATCGACCATATATTTGTGACGAATACAACAGGCTTTTGTATGCTTGTATTTTATTCTAATATATGTAGTAGCAATATTGTTCATCAGTACTGGAAAGTAATTATGATTTGCGAAAAAGGCAGTTTCTTTATGTGGGAAGAATCATTTTGTTTTTTTCTAAATTCTATATATTAACGTGGACATCGATTCGAAGAGAAACTCGGATTGAAAAAAAATCGATATTGTGTATCCAATTGAAACTTGAACGCGGACTTCAGTGAGAACACCTCGATTGAAAGTTTTCAAACGTTCCGACCAATGAAATTTATTTGATTATGTACCCACGCGGACTTCGACGAGAGCACCTAGATGAAATCTTTTATTTAAATCAGTCAATCAAATTTTTTTCAGTTATTACCGCTAAAACATAGTTTATAAAATAAGATTACAACAGCAAAGCGGAAATATTTAATTTCTTTCTTGTTTTATAATGTTTATGTTAACTTTTGGTCTGTATAATTATATTAACTTCCACAAACATAAGGTAAAACACATTATTTAAAAGCCCCCATTGGGTGTAAGCCAGGGCCGACCGTGCGAGGTCTTTATAGCCAGCCAAGGTCGTTTAACCAAGCCATCATTATTGTAGACTGAAATTTATCTTATATATTCATAGAATAAGCCAAGAACCCTTTATCGTGCAGGTAGCAATCACTTAACAAAATCGTAACCACGCCTCAATTTTTCGTTCGACATTTGCTTCTTTTCGACAATGAACGCACGTTTTGTACCAGTAACCAGTAGTATGATTTTACACAGTTTGAAAAGTTCATTGAGCTGTTAATCTATAATTTACAATTTTTAGCAAGACTAAACTGTTTACACAATGAATTCAACTAGTGTCAACATTATCTATATCTATTTTATTATTTAACACAAAATTGTTTTATATACAAACTGTTTTAAATGTCGGTATGATTATAATTTTTTTTTACCGAAAATGTAAAATGCATCGATTTTTTCTATGTAAACAATAAATAATTACTGTTCCTTAGACACACGTGTCTCTATTTAAATAAAGAGTACAAAAAAGGAAAACAGAAAAAGAGAAAAGGTAAATATATAGGAATACAGCAATTCGATGCATATAATAATGACAAATTTAAACAAAAATTTAAGTGATAATTTTTCATCACAAATTTGTTTAAATCTATTTATGTTCTATTGAATTGTCTTTAAAACATCTTTCACTTCTAGGCTCGCGTCTATGAGTGCAATGAGGACCTTCACATTCGCATTCTCTTTCCATTTAAAAAAAATCCCCAAGTATTCGTAAGAGACCAAACTTTACTTGCACGTTAGTTGTGAATATTTGTTGGAGGTATTTTCTGAATAAAATTGATAACGTTTGTAACAGATTAACGATAGATAACGGGGATGCTGTTCTGTTGGATGCTGGATGATTTACCTTACAAAAAGGCGGTCACTTTAAAGATTAAAAGGATTTAACATCAGTTTGATTTCGTTTAACGAGGGCGTGGCTAATTAGTTTGACACAGCTTAACCACATCTGAAACTAACTTGAATGACCGCAAGGGAATCTATTTGACTGGTATTAAAATAATTTGATATGGATTGAAATGCATTAAAAACAATTTTTAATTTTTGTCAATCGTTATCTAATGATTATCAATCTTTTTTAAATGTCGTTAATACCTTTTTGGCCGTTCAAGCCAAATTCGGGTTACTAGTGGTATAATTTTTCCAGGATAAATTACCCTAGTGTATAATTTCCGCATGAACATATATTTTGTACATGCAGGTTGATTTTGATATTTCAACCCCTCAATGAAAGCACAGCGGAAAAAGAATATGTTACACAATTGTTAAACAAATACAAAATATGTACCTGTAAAGAGAATAAGAATGCACTTTTTTAAGAATATTTTTGTTTTCAAAAGTATTTTTATACATGTCTGAAATCCTTATCTTTCATCCTTTAAATGTTGGAACCATGAATTCGAATACTGTTGTAAAAAATACTTCTTTCATAAACCCAGCAGATATTAATTTTGAAATTATATATCTTTTTTTTTCCTTGAAATATTACTTTGAAATACACAATTGCCACATTATTGTGTATTTCTTTTTTGTAGATGCAGTACGTTTTGAGTCTTTCTTTTGTGTGTGTGATCTTTTGTGTCGTCATATGCATAACAAGCATACTTTCCAAGATATCTCTCGTATTATTGCAGGAGGAATATTCATGGAAATTGGAGGATTGATTCTACAAACACTATTATGTAATTTTGATAATCTAACAATTTTTTGTATTAAAGATATTAAATGTTGACACTATGTTACATTAAGAATATTATGTAAGCATGATGTCTGTGTGTTGTCCTTGATACTTGTAGCATACGTTCATGTATCGACCTTGTTGTATCACGTATGTCACGTTCCACACCTAAGTCACCTAGTAAAGTGTCTCCACTGAAATTAGAGAAATAAATAAGTAGCATCCAATCATTTAAGTGGATTTATATGAGAATTTGTGGGATTAGGCAATGAATGCTAAATACTCGTATTCTAAGAATGCTTTATCGAGATAGATTAATACTTTTGTAGACTTTTTAACAAATATGGTGATCAGAGATTTTGTTTTCCTTCCACCAACATAGGCAAAACATGCATATTTAAAACTAGTATACATTATTGTTACGGGGCCAGCTTAAGCCCGCCTCCGGGTATGAGCATTTCTCATTGCGTTGAAGACCCACTAGTAGTCTTGAGTTGTTTTCTGGTATTTGGTCGGGTTGTTGTCTCATTGCCACATTTCTCATTTCCATACTCTATCAAATATTAAAAAAACACAATATATTAGGATACAAAATCGTCCGACTTAACCGTCTGTAAACGTTTTTCAATCAAAAAATCAAAAAAAAAAGAATTGTCAAAATGTTTGTTAACTCAGATGGTTAAAAACATATTTAAAGATGTGTTCGTGTTAATTACGATTTATACACATACACTTTTCTCAAATGTATACGTATCCAAAAAGTAAAGATGTCAAATGTTTGAATTTTATGTATACAATACATTCGTCCAAACATTTGAAATTAATAAACTGTGTAGTTCTTCATCTACAACCATTTATTAAACTTCCATTATTTATTGACAAACTGTGATTCTTGGAAAACAATAATTGGATTAAATAAGTTGCTTCTCATTTTGGAAATCTATATATATATATATATATATATATAGCGAATAAAACCAGTCGATATTTTTGGGGATTCTTTTTTTTTTTTGGCATGTTAGATTGAACTGCTCCTAATATGTTTTATTTTATTTTTTTTTAAATGTGTGCGTAGAATGCAAAATTTTATTACATTGAACAAAATGCAGGAATAATTTTACTACGTAAATATATGCAAGTACAGTCATATTTTGATTTGGGATTTTTCAGGTAATTTCCCTTTAAAATGTATAGAAAAGACAAATTGCGTGACACTTTATTACCGTTTTGGTTTTTGTGCAACCACAACAAGTTAGGTCATGTTTTAAAACGACATGAAAAAATCTCCACAATAGTATTATTTGTATATCATTTCGTCATTGTATTTTCCGTCATTGGTGGTATATAAGAAAGACATTTCATTACACTTCTTTTATTAAACGTTTTTATCGAAAACAGCTTAACATTTCAAAAAATGACATCTGATGTTGCCTTCGAAGAAGCTGTTGGAGATTTATCATTTTCTTTGTACAATGCAGTGGAAAAAAGTGGAAATGAATTGATTTCTCCATATAGTATAACAAGCGCCTTGATGCTTTTGATGCTCGGTACAGATGGAACTACATACACACAAATGAGATCTTCCCTGTTCAAACAAAACATAGAAAGTGATGTCAACATTGGTTATAAGCTTCTTAACGATAAATTGTCTTCACTAACAGGGAATGGAGTAGAGCTTTCCATTGGTAATAGACTTTTTGGAGATAACAAATTAAATGTTTTGAACACATTTACAGCGAATGCTTTACAGTACTACGGCAGCGATTTAAAACGCATGAATTTTAGATCGGCACCAGATCAATCAAGAATCAACATCAATAATTGGATTGCAAATGCAACGAAAGATAAAATCAAGGATATGCTTCCACCTAAAACTATAACTTCGGGAACTGTTATGGTCTTAGCCAATGCAATTTACTTTAAAGGAACTTGGGAAAAGGGATTTAACCCACATAAAACAACAAAGAGGAATTTTCTGGACAATTCTAACCAGCAAAAGCAAGTTGATATGATGTATGGCCAACGCTATGTGGTTGCTGGTGAGAACACCGAGTTGGATTGCAAGATTTTGCAACTTCAATATACGGGAAATAAAACATCAATGATATTTCTATTACCTAATGATGCAAATGGACTATCTCAACTTGAAAGTAAAATAAATATGACAAAATTTAAAAGTCTGTTTTCTGGAATTAGGCCACGAGATACAATAATCAGAATTCCGAAATTCGAATTTGAAGCTAAATATGATCTAGAACCAGTACTTACGTCATTAGGAATTAATGAAATATTTGACTCGCAGACAGCAAATTTCGCAAAGATGACAACCATGCAACCAGTTTTTGTAACTGACGCCCGTCATAAGTCATACATAGAAGTCACAGAACAGGGTACGGAAGCTGCTGCTGCTACAACGATTGTGATGACGGAGACAACTTCAATACACGGACCTTTTCAGTTTGTAGCTGACCATCCATTCATGTTTGTCATACGGGATAACAATTCGGGAACTATTCTTTTTGTTGGACGGTATGCAAACCCATGAACGAAAACTTATAGTATAACATCAGCTCTGAAAGCATAGAGTCGGTTTGATACGTTAACGAGAAGATTGTCAATTACATGTATAATCAAGTATAAATAAAATTTGTCAACTTAGTTTCATATCAAACTGTATAACTTTTATTGTATGCATTGCTTCTATCAGTATTGCAATTATCATTATTTTATCTGAAATAACTAGGTTGTATTGCGTGTACATTTTTTTGCCGCTCCATTACTCCGTCCATTCGATCAACCGCTTAAATCTTGTTGTTGCTTTCATTTTTATTTTAAATATCCCATATTGAATCTGGTCACCGAAGTAGTGGCTAGCAGAAATTTCTTACCCTTAACCAGAAAAGCTGGCTATATCCCTTAATTTATTTTGTTATGTTCTATAAGGTCCTGTTCAGATTTGGATGAAGGTGGCAACTCATAATAACAAATCAATCACATACTAGACAGAGCAGATTGCTAACTGTACCAATTGATCACTCAAAGCTCTTCTCCTTTATATGGATTGAGCTTCTAAACTAACTATTGTTATCAATATATTAATTGTACATTTTTGTATCACAAGTACTAGTATTGCATTATCTCAAGCAAAACTGCATATAGAAGCAATTATATTATTCAATGAAATTTATATACACTAAGAAAATTGTTTTTATTTTCATGACTATGAGAACAAACCATAACACAAATAAAACAACATAGAAGTTCAACATGCATATACTTCTTCAAAAGAGAAATGTCTATACATTTATTAGAGTTATACAGCAATACAAGGTTTATGTCTAAAGACAACGTATACATGCGTTTTGAGTTCAAGGAATAACAACACCATTGTCATAGAAAGTGAGGTTTCAAACAAGTCTACAAACATTATTTAAACTTAAGATCTAGAAAGATGAACTCTATCAGAAGCTGGTGTGGGTTTATAAGTCAGAAGGCTTAGAGGTCTCTGTTCAATGAGTTAAAATCGTTACGTCCGTGTAATAAAATAAATTAATTGGTATTTTTTTGTCTTTGCAAGTTGATTGTTGCTTTTTGTTTTATTCCCTGTGAAAATATTCCATGTATGCTCAAGACGACAACTTTTTGATAATAAATACAATAAGTTTGTCCTTGAATAGGGATTAACCGGTCTGATTTAAGGAAAATGGGGATGCCACTGAAAAAAAACCAGGGTTTATTGGATAGGGAAAGCATTTTGTCGTGAAAAAGGCCACCAACAGACTCCCTAATTGGCTGTTGCAAGGGTTTTTAAATTTTAAATTGCTTTAAGCGTGACACGCTCTCTACACGAAGCAACGAATTTGACGTCTACATTCTGATTAAACGTTGGTGAGTATCTTTATATATTCCGCACCGACAAATGGAAAGAAATTATGACAGGTTGTATACATGAAGCTAATAATCTGACGTCCCCATTCTGATTGAACGTTCCTGAATATTTATACATCCCGCACAGAACAAAAATATGTAAACCAAGAAATACGATGTATTTCAGATAAACAGTAATACGATGTATTTCAGATAAACAGTAATACGATGTATTTCAGATAACAGTAATACAATGTATTTCAGATAAACAGTAATACGGTGTATTTCAAATAAACAGTAAAATGATGCATTTCAAATAAACAGTAAAACAAACATATCTAATTGTAGCATTTGTCTAGGGTCTTTACGATGATACATCGACCACAAAAATGTATATCGACCGAGAACAAAAGTAAAAGTCTGAAATGGCAGTATATGTACTCAACTATACTGATTCTTGTTCGGCCATTCTGACAAGAATAAATAATCATTGGATATTACTTGACCCAAATATTTATCATACTCGATGGAATCGATTTGTACTCGACCCTAGTCTGGACCATATCTAAAAGTCTGAACGAGTACTTGGCCAGTAAGAGTTGGTCTTAACCCATTCCCGACCTGTTCTTAATCTGTTTTTAATGTTTGAACCATTATCGACCAGATATGGACTTTACTCAATCGATTTTTAATAGTAATGATTTTTTTCAACTAGTTTATTTCTATCTTATCAACCTTGAGATGGGTGCAATCCCAACTTGTACAAAAATTAACTTGGATCAGACTTTTTGACTGCTTTCCAAGTTAACTAAAGAAATTTTAAGCAGACAAGCAATTTAACTTCGTCGTTTGTAGACCAGACCAAGGTCTGTTTTTTTAGGACTGCTGCAGACCTATTGATAAGTCTGCTATTGACCAGTCGTGAAGACAGGTCTGCTCCAGACCAGACATGAGGACAGGTCTGCCCCAAACAAAACCTGTGGACAGGTCTGCTACTGACCAGACCTAAAGACAAGTCTGTTTATGACAGATTGTCGTGTTTAAGACTTTTCATATCAGACATGAGTTTTTATTATGTAAACAATAATCATATTGTTCTTTTTTGTTCGTTAAAACTATAGCATAAAAGTACAAGTAATTGTAACAAATTGATTACCATGGTCTTAAAAAAAAGTTGTAACAACATCTGTAAAGCATTATTTCTGGTAGAAAGATGATACATCTACGTCAACTTTCTTCCATTTAGCCCATTGTGTGGCCATTATTTTCCACTAAAATAATTCTCATTATAAGATTCTGTTTCCAATTCATGGATTAAAGCTCGCGGTTTGACCCTTTGGTTAACCCATGTAGTAAGTTAGTATTGTTGCTAATTTTCAGACCCAATGATAACATGTATAACCCCAAGACAACGAGGGCCAGTCAGTTATGGGCAGACTGTTTCAGAAAGTTAACCGAATATTCAATTGACAGGACATGACATTAGGTTTATGCAGTGTTTGGAGATATCCGTAAAGTCTCTTTTCCGTCACTTGACTAGATGTGCAGTGGACTCTTATTGGTTGTTATTGGCTTTGAACTGCTAGAACTCTCAGATTTGTTATTTGTGTATTCTGTGTTTTTATTATTTGTTTTTGTTCTTTGTATATATCTGTTGAGATAAGCCCTTTTCAACTGATTTTTATAGTTTGATATTATGTTGTACTGTAACGCCACTGTTCTAGGTTCGAGGAAGGTTAGCGCTTCAACATGTTGAACCCTGCCACATTCTGCATTTGACTGTCACCAGTCAGGAGCCTGTTACAAATGTATACTGTGGTTATCGTAAGATTTATTGCTGTATATCATGTATGTTTTTCGTTTATTGTTTTGTACGTGAATTAGACCGTTATGTTTCTTGTTTGAATCGTTTTACATATATCATTTCGCGGCCTTTTATAGCTTGTTATGCGGTATGGGGTGCTTATTGTTAAAGGCCGTACCGGGACCGTAGTTGCTAACCTTTTACGTCATTTAGTCTCTACTGGAGAGTGGTCTTATTGAGAATCATAGCACATCTTCTTATCTTTATATTGTTTGTTAAAAATGAGAAAATGTTAATGTACAACATTTAGGTTTTAAAACGGTCGACCTATGTGAGGTTCTATTTCAGGCTATTATAAAACAGATAACACAAACTTTTTGTGATTTATTATCCATGGAATTCATCTGACTGATCTTTATTTTGTTGTAACGTATATGAAAGACATCTTGAACGTGTCACATTGGTGTTTCGAGCCTATTGGTATGCTAAAACAGAAGGGAACCCTTTAGATTGAAACTGTTAAACATATATCTTTGATTCATTGATCTTTCCTGATTCATGGTGAACTAGTATTCCCTAACAGTCCCTATCAGTTATATTAAAAATATGTTCTACCTTCTAAACTACATTTTATAAATAGTCGTGTCCATGAACCAATCCCAGCAAAACTTACTAATACCATCGTGTATAGGGATTGGTTCATGGACACGACTATTTATAAAATAATCACCATAACATCTTACACCAACGTCTTCGCCATGTCTACAGTTATGCACACTCCATCATTTATGATTACAGTTGTCAATTCTATTGTTCTGTCCATTACAAGACAGAAACCTGAAAATGCAATGCAATCTAAAAATTATTGATTGTTTGTGTCTCACAGTCGCCAGAACGAGCTTTAGTTATTTTCTGTTGGTCATCCGTTAATAGTTACTCTATTCGTTATGGTGATATTTTTCACTGTGGGATGATCATAACTGATTATAAAGCATGTTATGCTTACCTGTACTCTCTTTATTTACTTGAGTTCATGATATTTTCGAAGATAATTCATCCCTATGGGTATAATCAAAAATTATCTATGAGTTTTTAAGTTTTTTAAGTCTCACCGCATCTTCAGTTGCTTGCAGACTACTAATGCATCTTTAGACCCAAAAGGCGTCGTCACAAATTGTTCCCCATGAACCACTATGATGAATATTTAGCCGATCATTATCGCTTCCTCCAACTAACCACAAATCTCCTTAAATATAATATAGGATTTTGCAGACCTTATGTTCAATATTTTTACATGTCAACTATCTGTTATAGACCACTACATGCACTATACAGAAACCCCTTTCAAAAAACCTAAATTTTATTTCTCATTACTGGTAGAATGACTAAAATATAACCATGTTCAGTTTGTTACCTACTTTAAATGAACTCGTTTATTAAGAAGATAATATTGTAACTTTAATCTTAAAGTATTTGAATTGATATTTACTCATTATCGTTGCTAACTCACATTGAAAACATAAACAACACAAATCCCTTACATTAAAACTAGGGTTTTTCGTAGGTGTTCCGGAAGGGTGAATAGTTTCTGGCCAACTGGAAGCACTCGTGATGCTACTATGATTACTGTTTGCAAGTAGAAATTTGGTCATAAGTCGTTTTTATTGATTATCTTGATGTTACCACAATCGAGGAAGATAAAAGGATTGTGGAAAAGAGAAATAAAACATATTGATTATCATTTGTTACTCAGATGGTACCTAATGGTCAAACAAATCCTGATGGCGTCCTGAAAACTTTCGAATGTTTCCATTTATAGGATCTTTGATTAAATCCTCGTGCAAGCAGCATCCAGGTATCATAAAAATACAATCCCTAGAATATTGTATGAACTGCAAAATGTAATTCGATAGAATATAAGCAAAGCCTTGTATTAGTTTTTATCATTTTCACTTTTTGGCGGCCATTTTGAAATTTTCCGCCATTTT